AAGATCGGAACTCCGGCAGGTTCTGGGCGGTTTTCCCTGGTGTCCCAATTTTTTTTGGGGCAGCCGAGCGGCCGCGTGCGTCGAACTCAACCTCTGACACGGGCCACCAGGTGCACAAAGTGGTCCAGGTAGCTGGCCTGAGTCGATGGGTCTGGAGACATCGCGTTCTTGGTTGAGGGCTTTTTTTTTTGATTTGGGTGTGGTTCAAACATAGGGTAAACAATGCAACCCAGGTAAGTGGAAACATGGACCAAACCCTGCGGTCCCCTGGTGGCTTAATTTTGACCTATACCCATTTGTTTTCAAGGGCCGCCTCTTCATTTCAGCAGGCCCAAAGAAGAAGCCTTCGCAAAAGCAGGAACATCTGCATTTTGGTTTCGCTTGAACGGTCGGGATCTTGAAGTTACATGTTTTCTCGCGGGAAATCCTGTTGTTTGGTCCTAAAGCGAAAACCAAGGCAGAGGCTCTCCGTTTCAGCACCTCGGTCTTCCGCTTGGAAGCTTTTTTGCGCCCAGCAGCATGCAGGGCCAGCCAGAAAAGCGGTGTGTCCAGGGGCACTGCAAGCCCTTGGCAGAGCATTTCCACGTCTGGCCTGCGGATGGGAAAAGGTTTGGGGCCGGTCAAAACCTGCTGGGGAAATACTGGGACCATGTTACCAACAACCCATGCGTTCCAGCCTTGATGGTTCTGCAGTTTGAACTCTTAGCATAGCACCCATCTTTGCCTAGAACAGTGTTTAATAATGGGCAATCTGCATTCTAGCACATGCTTCTTCAATCCACTATTCGGAGATGAGCCCAAATCAACCCCATTTTTGTGAACACCCAACAGTTCCATCTCGATAAATCCTGCATCTGGGATCAGCTCGGCTAGAGTTAACACATTCCAGTACGCTCCCTCGTGGCATGAAGTTCGCAGCTGGCTGTAAGGCAACATATACTGGTGAATGGAAAACACGCAAAGGAATGGTTGAGTCTGGCAATGAATACTCCATGGCAGCCCCGTCAACCGTCAACTTCTATCTCACAGGCGGAACAACGCCGTTCGGGGCACTCTGGGGGTGGTGCATGTGTACAAAATGTATATATAATATACATTGTTGTGTGTACCGTGATAGATGAATATGTGTACCAGTAGAGCTGGCGAAGCCAGTTGGCAGCAGTTTCAACAGTATAACTATGGTTGTCTTTCTCTTTCTCTCTCTCTTTTTTTCTTTTTCTCATACTCGTGCTCTTTCTCTTCTGTATCTTTCTCTGTTACTCTCTCTTCTCTTTTGTTTTCTCCTTCTCTTTCTTTTCTATGATCTACCAACCTACCTGCCTGACCTATCTGCCAATCGATCGATCCAGCAGCTTATCTAGCTAGCTTTCGATCTATCTAGCTAGATTTTGGTCTAACTCTATCTATCGATCTATCTATCTATCCGCCTATGTAGCTATCTATCTATCTCCCTATGTCTGTATCTCTCATCTCTTTATAGCTCTATACCTATCTCGCTATGTCTCAATCTCTCTCAAAACCCATCTCTCAATCTACCTACCTACTGCTATCCATGTATCCATGTATCTATCTATACCTATGTATCTATGAATCGTTTCTAGCAATCTGTCTGTCTGTCTATATCTCCTGCAAATCTATCTAGCTATCTAGCTAGCTAGCCAGTCTTTCTCATCTATATGTTGCCTACCTGTCTATCTATCTGTCTTTCTCTATGTATCTATCTTTTTGATCAATCTACCTATCTGTTTCCTACCTAGCAATCCGTCTGTCAACCTACCTCTTGCTATCTATTCTGCAGTCTATCCACTTAGCCAGCAATGTATCCATCCTTGTCAGTGATTGAAATACTGCTACTTGCACTGCTACTTGCGCTGTTTTTCTTGCGGAAAAAAAGAAAACGCCCACACACACACACACACTCACTTTTCGCGCTGGTTGATGATTGGGCTGCAAAACCTGCACAGGCTCAACCAATGCAACAAATGCAAAACCCAGACGCAATGTCAGACGCCAAGACTTGATTGCTCAATTTTCGCAGTTGTCGCGCCTGCGCAGGCTTTCAGGATCCAAAGCTTAATTCGAATTGCTTTTGTTGCTTTATGAAACCTGGGAGGCAGACCAAAAAGCATTTTCCTTGTGTGACAGATCGGGGAGGGTGAGCATATGTGTACACAGCTAACATTTAAACATATAAGCATACTACGAGTAATATCCACCAATATTGACCGTCAAAATCACTTATCTTTGCTAAGGAGGCTTTATGGAGGTATCTTTTTTGGTGGTGGCCAGCGTTCTGCCCATCCTATAGTTCTTGGTGCGGGCCCTATGACTTTGCGAGGCTTTCTGCAAATTTGTGCTGCCAACCCCTCTGTACCAATCCACCTGTACTAGGGTAATCTACACTGACTCTTACAGGGCACACTTTCAATGAGCGCCGCGCAACATTTCCCCAAGCCTCAGCTCCTGGCCCTCCAGCAGCGGCGGCATCGCCACGCGCAGGAAATCCCTCACCGTAGCAGGTCCATTTTCGGCGAGTGCCGGGGCACGACGCAGCAGCACGTCCTGCGAAACGAGGAGCCCGTCCATGCCGAAGCCTTGAGCCCAATGCAAACACACAGCCACATGTGACAGAGAGGATATCAAGGGTAGCTGCAGAGGCGCTTGGTTTATCCTAGGTAAAACGCTCACATGCAGGATGGGCTTTATGAAGGGCACGACAGCCTTATGGAGTGACACACGAAGTCGTGAATGCTGTGGCAGACAAGCATACCAAGAATGAAACAGAGATGCGACGAGGAATGCAGCCAAGGACAGGCAGACCAGACAACTCGAGAGACACACAAAGAAACGGACTAATAGACAAACAGACACAGACCAACTTGCAGGCAGGAAAGAAAACACGTAAGCAGGCAGGCAAACAAACAGCCGGGTCACTTAACAGTTAAAAAGTGGTATTGGATTTCAGGAGCATTGGTGCTTACTGACTGCAGCAAAAGCGAGCGTTCATGGCTGCTGCATGCTTGTTAGGCAACTGTTTGCAATCTCACGACAGCTCCCTCTCGGAGTAACCTGACAATCCCTAACTCCGCTATAGAATTAAGACATTTGCGAGACACTCGACAACAAAACGGGATTTCTTATCACACAACATGACGGCGCACCTCAAATACGCATAACGGGTAGATGAACACTCCCAGCAACCGTTGTGTGTCAACTCAACAGCAACCCTTTGCGCGAGTGAAAGAAGCGGGCAGAGCACCAGGCTATAAAAACTACCCCGGCCAGTGGCCCGAAACAGTGGTCACAACATGAGACAATGACCCACGCAAGCGACATGAACGTAGGCGCAGCAAACGCGCACAAAAGGTCTCGCACGTGACATTCAAACAGAAGCCTTCGGAACCTTGTATAGAAGGCCTCCTGCGGAAAGAGGTTCCGCGCAAGACTTCTCTAAAGAAAAACTACGAATGTTTCCGTAAATCCCTGGACAAGATCTCTGTGGAAGGATCGTAGCAGGATCTCTGGCTAGGGTCTCTAGATAGATTTCTTGGTAAGATCTGTGCGCATGATCTCCGACAAGAAGCCTCTACAAGCTCTCTCTTCAAGAGCTTTAGAGAATGTCCTCTACAAAATTTCCGGACATGATTTTGGCACAGAATCCTTGAGAGGGACTGCACGAGACCTCCTGAGAGCATTCTCTCTGCGAAGGACAAGACCCAAATATATCTCGGAGGACCTCTACAGGATCTTTGCCAGGATGTTTGCACAAGATGTCTGGGTAGGGTCTCTTGGCATGGTTTGTGTGCTGAATCCATGAGAAGATCATTAGCATACAATGTCTCTGTTCACGATCTGTAGGGAGAGTCGCTACAAGATCGCTTGGAGGGAAGTGTTTCCAGGTCCTGCGCAAGAGCTCTTGAAAGGATGCTTATGACAGACCAGCGCTAGATATGTTTGGGAGGACTTTTACAGGATCTCTTGATAGGATCTCTTGGCAAGATTCGTGCGAAATTTAGTCGGCCGGAAAGGGTGTGGTGGGGAGGGGAATCCTAGGACCTACACTGGGTTCAACTCAATTTCGCCAAAGCCTCATGGCCACGAAGCCCATGCAAACGCTTTGAACTATGGCGCAAGAGCATCGCCTTGACTGTCCCTTGACATTCCTGCATCATTGACAAGCAATCCTGATTAAGCTCACGCGAGTTCTATCAAATGAGTCCTAGGCCGCTACGCAGGCACACATGATTGCCACGCGATGGAAGACGGAACCTCCTTGGTAGAATCTATCAAACGCATTCTCAGAACAATAATGAAAAGAGTGCTGAGATGATGACAATGACGGTTCCAGTCGGGTTTTGAGCGTCGGCCTCGTCTGGTGGAAGCCAAAGGTGTAGACGAACTGCCAGGCTCTTGCACTCGGCCAAGGTGTTGCACATCAACCTCAAACGCCATGGAAGACTGTGATTCAAAAACAAGCTCCTTGTTCAGGCGCCCTCTCAGACTCTGATGTGAGGCAAAAGCATGTAAGATTCGGGTTGCCTTGTCAAGGGAGGTCTCATAATGAAGTGAGACTCGGACCCGCAAGCTCTTTCTTCCTGAATGCAACGTCGCACTCTTTCACTCACACAGACACACACACACATGCAAGAGACATCCAAGTACAAGCAAACCCATATACAGTTTGTGTCCGGTTGGTTCTTTTCACATTGCTAGATTATTTTCCGAAAACAAATCGTCATCCGCCCTTTGTTCTTCAATCTTCTGGTTCTCACTTTCCCACGCAGGTCCAAGATGGATTCTCGCCTTGGCCGAACTGACCCTTAACAATCCTGGGACATCGACTTGACAAAAACACTCTTGCTTCACGCAACAAAACTTTAGGGTGCCTCTGCTGCACCCTTTTGGCAGCCGAAAATAACTGACCAATCAACCCACAAACAGTGGCTGCAAAGTTGCCTGTATTGCACGTCAGCCAGGAAAAGCTAGCATGTTCGAAATTG